GTTGTTGAAAGAATTATTCGTTTTTTGTTGCTCTTGGAAATGCAATTAGTACTCTGGTATCACAGCCCACACTTCTCAGGATCGTGCTGTTTCCTGGCATGGCCGCTCCAGACCCGTCGCCATCTTAAATCCCTAAGGTTTTCTTTATTCAGTTTCTCCTCTGGAATCTTGGCCTGATCAGTCTTGTTGCTTCAGCAGCTCTCTGATTGCTTTATAGAGATGTCTTTGGTATTTATTTGGCTTTCCTATTTGTTCTTTTTTTTTTAAGCAAAGCAAATTCTACATCCTGCTGACATTCATTTCAAACCTTGGAGAGCTCGGAGCCTGGAACCGGGATGCGAGCCTGGGCTCAGGGCTGCCCGAGCTCAAGACAAAGAATCTGGCTGCAGCCAGCCCCAGCTCCCGGCAGCAGGTATCTCAGGAAATAATCTTTGTCACTCTACATACTCTGCACATTACTACGTCCTAGGGGCCTGAATTTAAGTAATATAAAGGCTGAATTATTGCATCCGTTGGAGAAGAACAGAACTGAATTCCTGATACATCTTACACTATTATTATTATTATTTTTGGTGGCTGGTTGGTATAGGGATCCAAACCTTTGATGTTGGGGTTATCACATTGTGCTCTAACCAACTGAGCTAACTGACTAGCCAGTTACAAACGTGTTTTATATAATATTCTAGGCCTGCAAATCTGGATGTTCTCTATAGGTCAAATTGTTTCACAGCACCTTTCAAAGAGACAGTCATTCTTTGACATTCATATTGAAGTATCATATGTAGGAGGTGCCACCCAATTCCTCAAAGAAAACAATTGGCAGAAGAACTAGCACTAAATGGGATGACCTTTTCATTGTTGGTTCATCTCAGGGTACAGAGTGCTTGTTTTTCCTGACTCTGGAATTCCATAATGTAAGTAGGGCAAAGTGTCATTTGGGCTTCCACACTAGAGAAAATAAGAACTTTTTAGGAAAACATCTGAGGTATTTCTGTAAGTAGAAGAATGAGCATGTATGTGAGACTAGTGGTCTTTAAACTTTTTTGTTCACGTGTTCCTTAAAATAATTTTGAATTTTTGACTATAAAATTTTCAAACATATAAAAAAAATAGAAATGATAGTACAATTAACACTGACATACCCATCACCCAGATTTAATTATCAAGATTTCGCCATATTTGTTCCTTCCTTTTTTTCTTATTTTCTTTGCTGAAAGATCATAAACCAAATTCTAGATATCATGTCATTTCCTCCCAGACACCTGAGTATGCATGAATAAAAACATAACTTCTTAACCACAATGCCACATCACATTAAATAATCAGATATCTTTTGTTGCCTCCAAAATGTCTTTTTTATGGTGGATCATGCAGAACGGGACCCAAAGTTCAAACATTACTTTTTAGTTTTATGTCTCTACAGTGTCTTTTTTTTTTTTTTGTCTTTTTCTGTGTCCGGCAACGGATCACAACCCTCAGTGTTGCCCCCGTACCGGACCGGGGACCGGCAACGGGATCGCAACCCTCGGTGTTGCTCCCGCGCCTCGCTCAGCCAGTGAGCGGGAACCGGTCTGCATGTGGGATCCGAACCCTCGGGGAGGAGCGCCGCCGCGCTCCCCAAGCGGCGCACTATCCAGTGCGCCACCGGGCCGGCCCCTACAGTGTCTTAATCTAGAGAATTCCTCCTCTTTTTTTCCGTTTCATGCCATTGACATGTCGTAGAAATGGTTGTCCTATGAAATGTCCCACGTTCTGGATGTGTTGTTTGCTTCCTTGTGGTGTCATTTAACTTGTTCCTCTAAACCCCATACTTCCATTAAATGAAATTTACCTCTAGAGCATGCATTTTCAACAGGGGCGATACTGGAAATTTTACATTATTTCTTTTCCTTCTTGATCTTGTATTTCATATCTCTCCCCACCTCCAATTTTATGTTAATGTAATCCTTTTTTTTTTTTTAAAGATGA